CCGCGGGTCCGGAGCTGCGCTCCTTAAGAGAAAGGCTCGGACGGCTGATGCCGTGTTTCTGCCTGTGCTCGGAGCCAGGGCCTGCGGTAGCCGTCCTCTTTCCCCTCACTAGAGGAGCGAGCGTTTTCCTCCCGGAAACGATAGCTGAGCTACAGCAATCAGTGACGCTTGTGCAAACTCCACGTTGGCGGTGGTAGGAATCCCGGATCTTTCACAGGGGAGGGTGAACGCAGATCTCAGAGGCACGGGACTGTACTCCTGGGATAAAGCTGTCCAGAAGGGCTTGTGGTAGCCGATGCTAGGAGCTGAGCGTAAGGGTGTGCTGCCCTTCCTCAAGCGGAGGGACAGCGGTAGCTCCGGGGATGCCCAGCGGATCCTACGGCTCAGCAGTGTTGTGCAGGGAGAGCGGGTGGCAGCCTGGCCCTTGCTTTGCGGGCCTGTCACCAAATAAATGAGCAATTACAGAAGAGCTGGAGGAAACTGCGGGGTACCAGGGGCAGGAGGGAGGGAGGGAGAAGCAGAGCCTGCTGTTGCTCTAGCAGCTGCTGGGCTCTGGGCTCTCGGTTCTGTTTCCGTCGCGTGGGTGCCCACAGCTCAAGCTGCGTCCGCTAGCCTGGGTTGTCCTCTCAGCAAGGGGGTCAGCTATTAGCGGGCCCTTTTCGCTGGCAGTGAGCCTACGTGGCATGCCACCCTGTGCTGCAGAAGCAGTGGCAGAGGAACAGGCATGCTCCTCTGTCCACCTCACTACATCCTACAGATAAAGTGAGAGCTGGGCTTGTTCTGGGCTCGTTTACAAATTAAACAAGAAGAGAAAGTGCTAATAATAGAACTGGGCACAAAGCAGAGGAGTGGCTGTGAAGTGTGTTGTGAGGGGACCGGCGCGCGCTCCAAGCAGATCCTGCCTAGAGGAGCGCGAGAGGTGGGTGCCAGCGAGGGAGCTGGGGTACAGCTGGAGAACGGGCTACGTGACAACCATCAGGGTTGTTGTCGGTCATGTCACTGCAGCTGAGGGAATTTCAGCTCTCAGTGGCTCAAGGGAGAACGTGTCCCTTCACCCCACTGTGTCTTAGCTGGTCCATTACCACTATCAGTTTCTCCTCTGCGGACAGGTACTTGCTCACATATAACATCTCTTCTTGGCACAAGCCGTTGCCCAGTCCCTGCTCTTTAAGCTGGCCACATCCTTGGGCCGAGCTCCTTGCCAAGTTTACGTTCTAGGTTTTGACAAAGAGAAGGTGAGAGGGGGGCCGTGAGGGAGGCTGTGCGGGCTCCGAGGGACGTGCGCTGGCCAGGCAGCCCTCGCAAGCTGTCGAGGCAGCAGTCGGTCTGTCTGCGTCTCCATGCCCGTGCAATCTGGGGACGGCCACGGACAAGGCGCTGGTCGCTCCCTGCAGCAGCCCCTTTCCTTCTTCCGAGGGAGGTGGTGCCGAGCAGCTGCCGGTCCCTCTCGTGGAGCAGGTGGCTTATGATTAACTCGTCTCCGTGTGCGAGGAGCGGGGCCAGCTCCCGGGCCTCGTCCCACGGTGGCTGCTGACCAATGGGGAGTTCAGAGAGTTGCTCTGACTCCTGGGCAGCAGGAGCGAACACGTCACGCTCGCCTCCTCCTGAAGCCGTTTCTGTCCCCCAGTGTTGTTTGCCTATCGCTACCTTGTTTGCTGATGGGGTGAGGCTGGCTGGCGTTGGAGCGTGCAGTGGGTGAGCTGGCACTGGCAGCATGAACGCCGTATACGGACGTAGCCAGCTCCCCACAGCCAGCACAGTGCCTGTGTAATTACTGTCTCACCATTGGGGCAGCTGCAATCTGTAGCTTTAAAAGCCTTAAGAGCTAGCATCAGTTGCACTTCTGGCATGAAAAGCCACCGAACTAGTTTGCTGCTGGAAGGAGCCAGTAGGTGAGCTGTTTGTGTCACCTTCCAGAAAGGCAGCTGATCCCCGCAGGCAGGAGACCTTGCTCCAGACGGTGGGAGAGGAAAGCAGGTAGTGCGCCCGGCACCTCCCCTCTGTGCTAGGCGACCCATGGCGCAAAGGGCCCAGGAATGAGGGCCTGCGGCTGATTCTGAGTTTTCTGTGCTTCTGCTTACTGTGAACACAGCAAACTTAATGCCAGTGCTTCTTGCCACGAATTTATGAAAAGCAGCACCTTTGAACACCGGTTGACAGATGTGATTCTTCTGTTGTCCTGTGTCAATGAAGCTGAAGGAACAAGTAGATTTGTTACTCTGGTCTTTTGAGAAACCTAGTACAAAAGGTTTTCTTAACTGCTATTTAAGACTGTGTTTTTCACATTTGTTTCATTTGCAGAAATACTTGAAAAGTTTCCAGTGGAGGTTTGGAAGCCTGTATCCAAAAACTGAACCTCCTGATGAGAGACCTGGTTTTCCTGTTATCTGTTACCTTTTTGTGCAGCCTCTGTCAGAGGTTCATGAACCACAGACTGAAGCCTGCAGGTTTAAAAACAAAATACAAGAGCGTTCTGTGTTTTGATTCTTGTATGAATCGGTCTTGATAACTTGGTTGTAGTCATGACAGGACTGTAGTGCAAGGAAATAAACTCTTCCCCCTTCAAGTCTTGGCTCATTTGAGACCAAAAAGGACCTTTATTTTTTTTCCTTGCTGTATGTTATTTTGGAGTATCCAGGGAGTGACAGAAGGGTTGGTGAGCTGTGTTAAACGGTACAGGCAGTGGGGGTTTGTCCTTAAGTCTGTCCCTGCTCTCTTAGTACCACGTTTCTGTCCATAGTGTCTCACTGGCAGTGCTGTGACTGTCCCAGAAACACTGCTTTTTGTATCCACTCTTGATGGAAACCTTCATGCTGTGAGTAAGAGTACAGGTGACATCAAGTGGACCCTGAAGGATGGTGAGTAACAACCCAGAAGGGTGTTTGCTTGTAGTCTAGGTCCCTGGGCTTGTCACTAGCTGTGGGGGATTGGAGATGCACTCTGCAGCTTAGATCTTGCTGAAAGTGCTTTGAGCAGCCAGTTTCTCCAGACACTGCAGAAAGCTACCCAGGCCCTGCTGTTTTCAGAGGAGCATGTTTACCATGGGCCAGATCTCCACTGCCAGCAGTGGCTATTCTGGGTCTGAAATGCAAATAGGTACTGAACTGAATATGCCACCGCGTGACTAGAAATAGTAAATGCTGCCACGCTGTCCCCTTTTGCAGGGAGAGACTGCTGACGTATGTGTTTCACTCTCTTTTTCAGATCCTATTCTGCAGGTGCCAGTTTATGTTGCAGAGTAAGTGTCATTTCCCCCTGGATGGAGCGTCCTTTGCAGTAAAGGTTGTTTATCAGCCTTACAATGTACGCAGAAGGCGTTTGGAGATGCTGGAGATTCCCCGATCAGCCCACAGATTCAAAACAAGGAAGTGGAATCGCAAAGATATTAACCGTCTAGCCTGTGCTATTGCATTCTCTTAAACCCCTCTTTGTGGTAGCACTTCATGCATCATGATATAGGAATAGCTGCTGCCTCCTACTGAACATATAGGCTTTCTACAGACAGACCAGAAGCTCTCAGTGCCACCACGCAAAAGTGTAGGAGAGAAATTGAGGAAAATCCCTATGTTCATTTAAAACTGCAGGGGGAAACCAGAAAAGCAGAGAAATCCTTTGAGATGATGGGCAGAAACACCAAATCAGCACACCTGGGTAGATACAGAGCAGCTGTGTGGGAATTACTGTGCCAAGCCAGACCAGGAGTTCATCTCATACCAAATCTAGTGCTTGAGATTTCCAGGAAAGGTTAAACACTGTAGTAAATCATTCTGGAACAGACTGCTGAGGGCAGTTCTTTATTGCATCTCCTGTTTAGTCATTGGTAGGTGCCTGCAAGTAGGGGACAGTTCCCATTTCATTCTGCTTTCTCCTCCTTTTCAGACCAGCGTTTCTTCCGGACCCCAATGATGGCAGCCTATATATCCTGGGAGGAAAAAACAAAGAAGGCTTGATGGTCAGTGTGGCTGGGGGAAGGGTGCTGTGCATGCCAGCCTCCACCCTGCTGGTTTTGCAGGGCTGATGCAGACAGGGCAGACCTGCTGCACAGGCCTGGGAATTCAGATTGCTCCTGTTGGTCCTTGGCACCTTGAAGATCTCTGCCAAGTGGATGTGGGGGAAATATAGCTAGGTCCTTTCCTTCCCCATCGCTCCAGCCTATTTTCTGCTTGACCAGTGAAAACAGGCAGGGAGAAGAGGGCTTTCCCAGGAGCATCTGTCCTTCCCACCCTGTTTCTGGAGGCAACAAGGCTGCTGTTTATGGAGCTGTTTCTCTGACACTGTTGCCGCTCACAGGCCGCTGTACTGCCTCTGTTACAGAAGCTCCCATTCACCATCCCAGAGCTGGTCCAGTCCTCGCCATGTCGCAGTTCGGACGGTGTTCTCTACACAGGTATGAGGAACTTCTCCCCATGGGAGAGATCAGCCACTCTGCCTGGCATCTGGACCCTGTGAGGTTAAACAGGGAGGTAGTTCATGCCTGGAAGGCACAGGTGGGCTCTGACCTGAAGTATGAACACACCAGGCCTATGTAGAGTCTGCAGGGATGGGTCTGGCCTGGGGCTGTGAGTGAAGGAAGAAGTGATGTAAGCTGCAGAGAGGGAAGGGCGGAACAGGGACCTCATGGAAAAGGTGTCCTTGGAGGGAGGGATATGAGGAGGAAGCCTGTGGGGTGGCTTTCAGGAGAAGGACAGCAGGGCTGTGGAGACTTAAGGCAAAATGTATTTTCATTCTCAGGGAAGAAGCTGGACACCTGGTTCATCGTGGACCCCAAGTCAGGAGAGAAGCAGACCACTCTCTCAACAGAGGCCTGGGATGGTCAATGCCCTTCAAGTCCCCTGCTCTACATCGGCCGTACCCGTAAGCCAGGACTCTCCCCGTTTATCTGTCTAGTCTCAAGAACAGGGTGCTGGGCTGTCCCACCTGTCTTGCTGGGGATGCTTGCTGTCAAAGGAGGGTCTGCATAAACTCTGCTGCTAGTGAAAGGCTTTGCTGTCCCTTTGGAAATAACAGAGAGTGGAGAGTTTAGTCTCTCCTGCAGCACACTCCTCTCTATCAGGTGTTGTAATACTGATGGGTTAGTGCTTCCCACAAGTGCTGTGGCTGACTCCATGCCAGGATAGGTATCAGGGTCCTCAGCGTTTCTTCTCAGTCCCCAGTTCCTCCCTTCCAAAGGCACTCACCCCTCTGGGGCAGTGCTGTGAGCACTAGTGCATTGACCTCGCTGCTTTTCTCTGATCCCCAGAGTATGTCATCACTATGTATGACACCAAGTCGCGGGAGCTGCGCTGGAATGCCACCTACTCGGATTACTCGGCACCGCTCTACGAGGAACTGTACCACTACAGTGAGTCACTGCAGCACACAGTGTGTGCAGGAGCCAGCTCCCTCCCGGGCTCCAGCGCTCAGCGGGGTGGGCGCTCCCATGGGGCTCAGCAGCTGGACAGGGAGATTCCAAATCAGTACTGTACTGATTGCTGGGGAAACAGCTGCTGTGCTGGCCGTGCCTGGCCTGAGCCTGCATGACTGGCAGAGGTGGGAACACAGCACTAGGATGAGCAGTACGTATCTCTCTCAGATATGGCCAGCCCTCCGTGGCTTGAGGATAGTCACCTGCGTTCCTTGGAAGACATCCCTGGGGATGCAGGGGAGCTGCAGGATGGTGATAGGATCTCCCTCAACTGCTCTGGGGTTTCATTGAAGAGTTCACATTTAGTGCAGGTGTGTTGTCTGCCAGCAGTCCAGCAAAGAGCTCTTGCATGAACAGAGCAACAAACAGCAGCCCTAGCCTGACTGAAGGCCACAGGACCAGCATGACATGGAGAGAGGGGATAACGCCCCAAAGTCAGTGCAGCTGCATGACCTCCATCCTTCTGTCTCTGGCTAGAAATGGCACACTTTGCCTCAAGCGGAGATGGCCTGGTGGTGACGTTGGACAAGGAAAGCGGGGAGGTCCTGTGGGCACAGAACTATGGCTCTCCTGTGGTAGGCATCTACATGTGGCATCAAGACAGCCTCCGCCGTGTCCCCCACCTCAACATGGCCATGGAGACACTGCGCTACCTGACCTTCCACTCTCAGGACATCCGCCTCATCAAGTGGAACTACCAGTCAATGAAGGACTTCACCACTACCAAGACCCAGCTGCTGTATGTGACTTGGGAGCCCTCAGACCCGGGTAGAGAGACAAGCAGGCTGTGGGAACCCTCTGGTCTCTGGGGAGTGGCTTGAGGCAGGCAGTGGGGGCTGGCAGCACTGCGGTCCTGGAACAGGGGACAGTAGCTAGGACAAAGCCCTTGCTTTTACAACCATCGTGAGCCTGAGAAGGGGCTGGCTGGCTCAGGACGTGGGACGTCAGTGGGTCCCGGTTATGGCAGCTTGTTGCATTTACGTTGCTTGGTGCTCATCCGCTCCAAACAAAGACAGCCTCAAGAGTGATGCTGTTTCCTGGCATTGCAGGCCAACACTCTATGTGGGGAAGCATGCAGCCAGCTTCTACGCCTTGACCTCCTTGGTCCATGACAGTGTGGCTCTGGTGGTGAGTGTCCTCTCTGACCCCATGAATGCTCCCCATTTCAGGGTGAGCCAATGAATGTGTTATGTCTTGACTTCTTAGTACTTCATTAACTGTCTGATCCCTTTAGCCGCGGGGGATCGCGCTGGCCAGGATTGATGGCCCAACCACAGATGATGTGACTATGAGAGAGTCCGGCGAGTGTGAGATCACACCCAGCACAGATGTCAAGTACCCCCAGGGCAGCATCACTTCACTCCACAACCAGTGGCTCCTAATAGGTGTGGACCCCCAAGAGGACATCACTCTCCCTACATCCTCACTTTCACAGACTGTCTTAATGAGAGGGAGCCAGAGCTACGGGTGTTTTTTAGTGTGGCAGGATAACTTGCTTTGCCTAGTGGTTTAAAACGGATTGAGGCTGTGTTTCGCCCTCAAAGACTATGATGACTCTGGCTTGGGTTTCATTCCAGCATGTCCTTGACCTTTCCCTAGAGCAGGCTGTCGACCTGTGTGGGTGGGCAGAGACGTTTTGAAATAAGGCTGACAATTACCTGTGCTAACGAATGTGATATTGCATATTGAGTTGTGCGCACAGGTGTTGAATTCATTTGCTTGCTCCATGATTGCTCTCGTGTGTGATGGCAGGAGATGCCATGGTGCACTGGCATGCTTGAAAAATCAAACTGGTCTCAGGGTAGTTGTATGGGGAGGCACAAAGAGCAAGGCCAGGCCTTCCATGGTGTGCTAAGAGGAGGCGACCTTGTCCTGTGCCATTCTCCATTGGCTACAGTTTCCTCGAGGTCTCCTTCTCCAGGGATGGAGCTCTGGCATTTTTCATGTTTCCCATCGAAACAACATCCCTTCTCCATGAGAGCCAAAGCTAATAAGTGAGCCCACTTTGGCATTGCAGAGATGACCATACTGAAGCTGTGATCAGATGAGTTGACTGTTCTCTCTTTTTTCTCCCACCACAGGGCACCATGAGCTGCCTCCTGTGATCCATACTACAATGCTAAGAGCCTTTCCAGAGAACCTGAGGAAGACGACAGAAACCATCATTCCCAAGAACTCTCCTGCCAGGGCTGTGTTTGAAGATGTGAGTGTTAGAGCTCCATTGGGTCACTCCTGTGAACTGTGGGGGACCTTGGAAAATGCTGGGTTGCTGAAGGGACCAGGTCATCTAGAGTGGGAGGATGTGCCCCAGCGTGTGAGCTAGCATGAAGAGGGAGATTGTGTGTGCAGAGCTGACGCAGAGAAGGAGAGCTGCTGGGAAGGAGCCTCAAGCACTAAGTGCCCAGAGGTCCCTGCTGGTGTAACCCAAGTGTCTGGGTGTGTGTTGCAGTATCTGACGGCGAGCAGCATGGAAGAGCCAGCTATCAGGAGCAACGACGGGCAGTTTCAGTCAGATTCCACCCAGGGAGAGCAAGTGGAGGTCTACCCAGAGCCTAGCAGCTGGGACATCATGATGGCTGGAGTCAGCACAGCCCTGCTGGGTGGGGGAATCCTATTCCTCGTTCTGATGGTAAATGACTGTTCCTTCTCTCTCTGACACCTTGGCCTGGCTGGTAAAGTAACTGTCTGCTGCGGAAATTCCACTGTTTGAAGGGCTGGAAACTCCCTTTGGTTCTTTTTTCTTGTCTTTGTGGCACAAGCAACACTGTGTTGTGAGGAGCAGCATAGCTTCCACACTGTCTCATATGTACTCATAGTCATGAACTGAAATTGTGTGCAGCTTTCTGCTCCCAGCCCTGGGTATGTAGCTGGCTGGGGCAGGAGAAAAAAGGTACGCGTTAGATCTGCTTGTGTCTAGGCTGTGCTGATGCCCTGGGCTCTCATCTGCTGGGATACGAAGAGCTGAGGTATTTTTGTTGTTTGTGTTCCAGAAACTGCAAAAGCAACATGAGGCACAGCAACAGCAGCTGGAGAAGCAAATTCAGCTCTTACAGCAGCAACAAGAGATGCTGTTCCCAGGTCAGACCTCTGGAGATGGTGTCTCTGCAGACCCCAAGGAGCTGGGTGTGACCCAGGGAAGTGCTTCACAGCAGTCACAGAGCTCCAACCCATCCACCTACCCAAAGAACGTGGTTAATGGGATGGTCAGCCAGGATCCAGCTGTCCTGGGGGCTGCTGAAGGTGTGTGCTGGTGAGGACAGGAAAGGTGCATGGGGCTCTCTGTCCTGTAGGCCAGGAACTCCTTACTTGTGGGAATGTCTATGTCCTTCTCCACAATTTGGAAGGGGACTTTTCAGAAAAGTAAATCCAAGATTTTGAGGCACGCAGAGACTGAAACAAGGTTGGACAGATGTTGTCATCCAAAGTAGGAGCAGAGATGCCCTATAGATAAGATGGCTGCAACCTCAGCTGAGGGGGAGGAGATGCAAGACCTGGTGCTGGATAAGCATGGGCTACAAAAGCAATTGCAGGAAGAACAGGGCCCAAGAAAGGACCAGATGGTGAAAGAACTGGATGTCCTTGATATGACACTAATACTCAGAGGTTGAAGGATGGCTGCTGACATCAATCTTCCTCTGCAGATGCAGGACCAGACATGATTGTGGTTGGGAAAATTTCTTTTAACCCCAAAGATGTGCTGGGCCATGGAGCTGGAGGAACCTTTGTCTTCAGGTGGGTAGCACCCTGGGATGCCCTCTCTTTTGCTAAGGCCAGGCCGGGTTCAGAGGACCCTCTCTCTCACCTGGGAGCCACAATTGTAGCACTAAGGCAGGTTCCTTCCCTGGTAGGATCCATATGGTTCAGAGGGGAGCAGAGATGCCCTATAGATAAGATGGCTGCAACCTCAGCTGAGGGGGAGGAGATGCAAGACCTGGTGCTGGATAAGCATGGGCTACAAAAGCAATTGCAGGAAGAACAGGGCCCAAGAAAGGACCAGATGGTGAAAGAACTGGATGTCCTTGATATGACACTAATACTCAGAGGTTGAAGGATGGCTGCTGACATCAATCTTCCTCTGCAGATGCAGGACCAGACATGATTGTGGTTGGGAAAATTTCTTTTAACCCCAAAGATGTGCTGGGCCATGGAGCTGGAGGAACCTTTGTCTTCAGGTGGGTAGCACCCTGGGATGCCCTCTCTTTTGCTAAGGCCAGGCCGGGTTCAGAGGACCCTCTCTCTCACCTGGGAGCCACAATTGTAGCACTAAGGCAGGTTCCTTCCCTGGTAGGATCCATATGGTTCAGAGGCTTGTGTGAATGGGTTTCCAAGTTCCCTTCTTAGTTTCTGGCATTGGCCAAAGCCTTGCAAGGCTGCAAATCTGCAGGGCTATGCTCTGCTGTATCTGGTGAGGGCTGTACATGGACACTGCTGTCAACTCTCCACGTAGGGGACGGTTTGACGGCCGGAACGTGGCTGTGAAGCGCCTTCTGCCCGAGTGTTTCCACCTCGTGGACCGCGAGGTCCAGCTGCTCCGGGAGTCGGATGAGCACCCCCACGTTGTACGATATTTTTGCACCGAGAAGGATAAGCAATTCCATTATATCGCCATTGAGCTCTGCTCTGCCACATTGCAGGAGGTGAGCCCACAGCCCCTTTCCCCGCCTGGTTGCTTGCAGAGCAGGGTCATCCACGTGTAGCTGCCACAGGGCAGCTGTTAATTAACCCTTCATGTCTCCATCCCTGTATTTGCAGGGAGTCCCCAGGGGACTGTGTCCAGTTTCATCTGTCCCATTAGTGAGGTCCTAGCCTGCAATATTGTTGCAGGAGCAGAGTACTCTGCATGTATGAGGGCAGGGTTGTCAGCCAGCAGTTTCTGCATTTGGAGCCCTGTTTGAGGTCCGCAGAGTGCCTTGCTCTGTACCTGCTTCTCCACAAGTCAGAGGGCACAATGGTTAGATCTTGCATGTACAAGCTGGAAGGTACTTTGGAGATGCAGAGCACACAGTTAGTAGTATTACTTCCTTATGAATCAAGCCCCTGTCTTTGTTCCGTTCCTGATTTTCCCTTTCAGGAGGTGGCAGTGCAGCAATGTGCTTCTTTGCACCATTTAGAGCAGTTGTTCCCTTGTGGGTGACCTTGGAGCGGGAAGCAGCTTCTGGTCCATCATCCTAGTGCTGCACCCCCGTAAGGAGCTAGCTGGGTTCCTTCCCCAGCACAAGCTGGGAAGAGACAGCATATTGGGATTAGAAGAGTAGAGCAGGAGTGTTGCTGAAGCTATGGAAGGTCTAAGTGAGAGCAGTTTTGGAGCAGAGCCAACTGGTAGACCTGAAAATGACAAGTTAGCCTTGGAGACACAAACGGCCTCTGAATGGACTTGTACAGGCAAAAGCTCATCTCCTTCCAGCTCTGTCAGCCCAGTGAGAGATCTCTCTCCTGACAAGCCTTGCCTTGATGACTCCTATAAATTAGACCTCAGTTCATATCTCTTTCTACCCCTGTCTGGTTCCAGTACGTGGAAAGCCCTGGCTTCGATCGTCGGAGCCTGGACCCGGTGTCTCTCCTGCATCAGACCACGTCAGGCCTGGCACACCTGCACTCGTTAAACATCGGTAAGAGGGCCGCTTTCCCTGCTTTCATTCACATGCCTCTAGCTTGAGAGCAACATGTTCAGCTGAGCAAATTCAGTTTTAGGGAGCTCCTATCTTCAGCCCAAGAGCTTTGTGCTGTGAGATTCAAACCAATAGCTGCCAGGTATGGAGGCAACTCATGGGTTTCCAAGCTGTGGCATGCTGGAAGACATGCAGTAGCCCTGTTTCATCATGACAGCACCAATCCTCGGTTCAGTCCTGCAGCTGCAGGGTCATATTGCAGGTAACACTGTGAACTGCCTCTTTCAGTTCATCGTGACCTGAAACCCTGCAATATCCTCATCTCCGTCCCGAATAGCCATGGGCAGATCCGAGCCGTTATCTCCGACTTTGGCCTATGCAAGAAGCTTCATGGGGGACGACACAGCTTCAGCCTCCACTCTGGGATTCCTGGCACTGAGGGATGGATTGCACCTGAGTTGCTGCAGGAGGCCCCAAAGGAAAATCCTGTCAGTGAGCCATGACTGGCAATGCCAGTCCTGTTTATTGTGCTTGTTAACCTTTTCTTTGCAGAGTCCTTACTTGCAGCAGCCTCCTGGTGTGCTGCTGAAATCCTCAATTAAGACAAAAGCTCTAAGAGTAAAAGCCAGTTCAAATGCAGAACATGAGTAGTCATCACCAGGATCTCCTTAATCAGCAATTAATTACTTATTGCTTTCCTGTCCTTTGTGGGGACAGCTATTCCCAATAAAAGGTGGAGTCCTGGTGGCCTGGTAGAGTTGGAGCCAGTGTCACATCCACTCTAACATGCCTGTGAAAGCAGATGGATCTCAGTAAAAGCTGAGTGTTCCTGGGTATGTGGCTCACCAGCAACATGATCACTGGATGCCTGGGACAGTGGTCAGATGTGTTCAGCACAGGTCTTTCATCTGGCTGTAGTACTTGGAAATTTGGGGTAGGGAGGTGGGATGGGGCCATGGGAACTGGCTCGCTGTGAAGGTTACTCATTCTGCTCATCTGTTAAGCCCAGGGTATCCTGTTTCTGTTGGAAGCCAGTTGCAGTACTGGGGATTGGCAACGTGCTTCATAAAACCTTATACTGGGATTAATTTGTACAGATGTTTAAGACACTAGCAGCCCTTAGGCGTTCATCTGGCAGTGAGGTTCTGACTTCTGTTTGTGCCCCTGAAAAGCTCTTTCCTAATCAGGACCTGATGTGATAGGGTGTTTCACAGATTTAGAGGGAAACAGTCCCTGCTGCAGAAAGTGTAGGCAGGCGGGAGCTCTTGTGCAATACATTTATCAGCAATTTTGCATTTACCAAAGAAAACTCTACAGTGTTGTCTCTGAGTTACTTCCTAGCTAAAGCTACAGCCAACAACCAAGTTTTCATATATGGGAATGGAAAATGGGACAGTAAAAATGTTTCTTCATCCCTTACTGTGAGAGTCCCATCTCCTTGTTTGTGTTTTGCAGACATGTGCTGTGGACATCTTCTCAGCCGGGTGTGTCTTCTACTATGTGGTGTCAGGAGGAAAGCATCCATTTGGGGACAGCTTACGGCGACAGGCCAACATACTGTCAGGCACATACCAGCTGACTTGTCTGCAGGAAGATGCTCACGGTAAGGGCCCTTCCCCACAGGCATATAAATGCATGTGAATCCCCCAACATCAGAAGACATAGGTACAGTAGTAATGACACAATGATCTGGTCCTTCTGTGACACCTGCTTTTTGCAGCTATGAGGCTACGTTGCATATGTTGACTCTTGCCTTGCAATCCTCAGAAGGTAAATCAGCATCATTAATCCTGTTTGGTGGAAAAGAAGCTTAGACCAGAGTAGTAAGATGACTTACCATAGTCACAGAGGAAGTTAGCGACAAGGTGGGCTCCTCTGGGTCTTTGTGCTTCAGCCACAGGACCAGCCTTTCAGATGTGCTGCAAAGAGCACCAACATGGAGGACAATCTCTAGAGTTTTGTAGTTGCAACTCGTTCCATTGCCCCAGTTCATGCAGAGGGAAAAGAGTTAATAGTGGGTTTTGGTATTCAGAAATAGCAGGACAAGTTTAGTTTCATTTCATTATAGTGCTGCAGTCCTTGGAAACATTGTGTGCCATGACTTGCAGTAAAAACTGAACCAAGATGTGTGTAGCTCCCAGTCCTTCCCCGGGGAATTAGTTCTTATTTCGTTTGTTTTGCATACAAGACAAGGTTGTTGCAAGAGAGCTGATTGCAGCAATGATCAGCAGTGAATCCCAGAAGCGCCCTTCAGCCCCTGTGGTCCTTATGCACCCCTTTTTCTGGAGTCAAGAGAAGCAGCTGCAGTTCTTCCAGGTGAGAATTCTCTGGCCAGCCAGGTAGTGAATTTAAGTGGGATGTAAGCATGACTGACGTAGTGCAGTCTTTCTGAATCTGCAGGTGGTCAGAAAAACAAGTGCTGAAAACAGACATATTTAGCTCAATATTCTCATTCTGAGCTAGTTTTGCAAGTGGGAGACTGCTGCCTGCCCTGAGTTTGAGGCCAGGGCCCTTCTTCCTGTATAAAAACCCATTTCAAAACTGTCTCACCTGGAAGGAGACTCTATCTGCAAGTGACTGGGTTCGGTGTGGCCTGTTTGCCACCAACCTTTTTCATGCTCCCAGCCTGCGGGCTGCATGTGTGTTGGTCTCCCCTGGGAGCAGGCTGCGTGTCTCTCTTCCACCCTCCCCACAGCTCTGTTCTCTGGCACTGAACGGGGTTGCCCTCGGGCCAGAGCCAGTGCGAGTGACGGTCCCGTTACCTGCTCTTTGGCCTGCAGGATGTCAGCGACCGCATTGAGAAGGAACCTGCTGAGGGGCCCATAGTCTCAGCCTTGGAGGCAGGGGGACGGTCGATTGTGAGGGTGAACTGGAGAATGCACATCTCTCTCCCGCTGCAGACAGGTAAAAGCTCAAGTCTGGGCTCACTGCTGGACCCTAAAGCTGGTGTCTTGTAGCCAGAGAAACAGAGCTTTCCAGGTCCATGTCCTTTACTGGGTAATGGCATGAGGCACCTTCTGATGCCCAGGAGTCAAATAGCAGGAAGGAAGAGCTGCCCACCCGCGCTGTGGGAGGGCAGAACAGTGCAGAAACCCCATCCCCTGGGTTTGTCCCCCCATCTTGAGCTCCCATACAAGTTTCCCATTGAGGTGCTGACTCCCGTCAGTGCATATTGCCCCTGGGAGCTGTTTGCAGCTCTGACATCCCTACGCATCATTTCAAAGCCACTTCTCGCGGATGCTGATTGCGGCTCTCCTGCCGTTTCCAGACTTGAGGAAGTTCCGGACGTACAAGGGCGGTTCAGTGCGTGACCTCCTGAGGGCCATGAGGAACAAGGTACAGCCACCAGCCCACAGCAGGAGCCCTCTGGGCTCCAGGCACGCACAGTGCCATCGCTGACCGCTCTGTCTTTCCTGCAGAAGCATCACTACCATGAGCTGCCTGTCGATGTGCAGGAGGCCCTGGGGTCGGTCCCCGATGATTTTGTTCAGTACTTCACCTCTCGCTTCCCCCACCTGCTGCTCCACACCCACAGAGCCATGAGGGTCTGCGCCCACGAGCGGCTCTTCCAGTCCTACTACTGCCAGGAGCCAGCAGATGATGGAAAATGAGGGGAGACGCCGCACCCCGGAGAGCGCTCACAGTAAGAGGCTGGGGGGGCCACTCAGTGCCTAGGCGGCACAGGGTTACC